GCCTCTGGAGGATTAAGCTTTGGCAAGCATTGCCTTTGCAAGCATCGCCTTGCAAACCCTTGATCAAAAGAGTATCCCGAGGCCTCGATACACAGTCAGTTACTGCTGGAGTTGCCAAGTCCTTAAATCCTTTCAGCCCCAAAGTGAGTTTTGCAAATTAATAAACTCAATCTAAAGCTGAAGGGGTTAGAGAAAAGACATTGTTGTTGTGTGCCTTCAAGTCATTTCCGAGAAATTGTGACCATAAGGTGCACCTATCGTGGAGTTTTCTTGCCAAGGTTTCTTCAGAAGAGGTTTGTCCTTGTCATCCTTTGTGGCTGAGAGAGTGTGACTTGCCCAAGGTCACCCACTGGGTTTCCATGGGTGAGTGGGAATTCAAACCCTGGTCTCCAAAGTCATAGTCCAGTGCTGAAACCACTACACCACACTGAGAATTAGCAGTTTCTGGAAGGGTTGTGTTCTTACACTCAAACCATTATGCCATGCTGGCGTTTAATTTTGACGGCTGGAGGATTTTGGGAGATGCAATACAAAGAAAAAGGAACTTTTCTGGCACAACCATGCCACTGTTTCCCTCCCATTAAGTTCCCTCCCATGAGGTTCTGGTATATTGGGTATCTTTCAGATGGAGACCTAATGGAGACAGCCTTTTTTCCCCCTTTTTTTGGTGAGTACATCAAATATTTTTTAAATACGTCCTTCATCATCATGGATACCAGGGCAACCCACAGAAGGGTACAGCGGAAATGAATCAGAACAAAATTAAAACACAGCAAGAGCAAAGCAACTAAGGAAATGCAAGTGTCAAAACAGCTAAAACAAAGGACCAACACTTGCAAACGCCTGGGAAAAATGTTTGCAAAAAACGCTTTTCCGTTCGGTAGAAGCACCCTCTGCGTTTCACAGCTCTTTGTGCACCGACGGCTAATTTTAAAACACGCTGGGTTTTAACAGTTTAGTGAATGAAAAGCTGAGAGACGGGGAGATTTTAACTGGGATTGCGTGGGATGTAGGGTGCACCAATGGCCCATGGTGCCCCATCCATTAATTGGACCAATGCTTAGCAAAACTCTGTCCAAGGTGCTGAAAACACCAAGTCCCTAAATCAAAGGGTGGGAACTGGACCCCTCTTTCTGTACAGTTGGCCCTCCGCATTTCCAGCTTTGACTTTTGCAGATTTCATTATTTGTGGTTTTTAATATTATTTTCTCTCTAGGAATCTCTAAGTCCTCCGGCGCAACTCTGCCAAACCGAGTTGTGCTGGAGAACCTAGATCAGGGGTAGGCAACCTTTCCCCTTTAAGGGCCGAGGGACTTCAGCTCCCAGAAGCCTCAGCCATGTTGGCCAATAGTCCCATGTTGGCCAATAGCTCCTGGGATTCTGGGAGCTGAAGTCCCTCGGCCCTTAAAAGGGAAAGGTTGCCTACCCCTGACCTAGATGTTCCTAGAGAAAACACTTCTCTAGGCATTTGCAGTTCCTCCAGGATGATTCGAAGATCAACATCTGGCAGATGTTGACCACAGAGTTGCATCGGAGGATCTGGAGATGCCTAGAGAGGGGTTCTCCTAGGTAAAAAGAAGTGTTTTTTTATTTGTGTTTTTTCCACTTTCATGAGGGTCCTGCACCCCAAAATCCAGCAAATGTGGGGGGAACACTGAATACCCAACTTCAAGGAAGTTCTGCATTCTAGAAGGGGATGTGGGCCAAAGGCAAAAGGGCTCAGACCATTCATACCACTATAAAGTTAGCTGGAAATGTTTATTGCTACTAACTAAGTCCTGGGAGAGACAGGGCAACCTTTCAGAATGGGGAGAAAGGCCCTATAAAACCAAACCATGGTGCCATGGAAAGGGGGTTGTGATCATTTGAGGAAGCCCAGCTAGTTGGATTTAGCCTCTGTGGGGACCTCAAGTTTAATCATTCCAGCTTCCATTGAGAGTTCAGTCTTGATTTGCTCTTGGATCAGTTTATTTGCATTTGGGGAGGAAGTCCACGGTATTTGCAAAAATGCACTGCATTTCAAATGAAAACTTGGTCTGGAAATCTTAGCACCCTGATCACTGCCTTTCTCTAGATGTAAAGAAGCTTTGCTCCTATTGCATTTACTCTCCTACATTTTTGGCTATATTTAGGTAGTTCCCTGAGTGACTTTGCTCCGGTGCTGGATCAAACATGGGTTCAAGTCATTCCCTTGCATTTGCCAATGGGGATGACTTCACCATTGTACGTCTCTGCTGGATGCCCTTTTCTTGCCGAGCGGCAGATTTAATGTTCAGCCCCAGCCCCTCGCAAGTTAATTTCTCCATCCAGTAAAACGCAATCACAAATTTGTCCGCCGCATTTGCTTCATCTGTCTTGTTTCTTGATTGCTGAATTCCCTGGGCTCCAACCATTACCTTTAAAGCTGATGGATTTCAGTTTCAAGAGAAGGAGCGCATTTGCTTGGTGCTATAAACCTCTGTTGAATGGGAGTATGAATTGCCTGGGGTGGAATTGGCCCCCAAACCTTTTAAACTCAATAGAAGAGGATCAAAATGAACCTCATCTGGATTATTTTTGATGCTCAAGTTCCACTTTGAAAACCCAGCCTCCCACCCCTAGTTTCAAAAAGGGAGCTGCTTTTGAACTGCAGCAGATTCAAACTCATAACCTCAAGGGGGGGATCATTAAAGCCTTTTTTTCAGCATTCAGGCTCTTCTTCTACCATCTGTGTCCTTTGCCCTCTTCCAAAATGCCTGCCTGTTGAGTGAATTGGTTCAGTAATCCGGTTATGGATCTTCCACCAGTGTCATCTCAAAGATCAGCCTGGGAAGGGTTACTTTCTAGGGCTTGGACTTGGTTTTTTGCTGCTCTGGAGACTAGAACTCAAAGCAATGGATTCAAATGACAATAGAAGAAATTCTATCTATTAAAAGTACTTTACTGGAAGAACTTTTCAACTGCATCTTGCAGGGAGGTGGACTCTCCATCTTTGGAGGTTTTTAAGCAGAGGTTGGATGGGCATCTTTCAGGTCTCTTGCATGGCAGAAGTGTGTCTCTTGCATGGCAGAAGTGGGTTGGATTGGATGGTCCCCAAGTCCAGACCAAAGAATTCTTGCAAGTTCTTGCAATTCACCTTCTTTTGCTCTGCAGCCTAAGAGCAGAGTCCATTTCTGCGCTTTCCTCCATTTGCCCTTGGCTGCCCCTGGAGAGATGGGCTGCTTTTGCTGAACCAGCGCGTCCTTCACGTCCTTCCAACCCTTGCGGGAAACAAGAACAGACATCACTGGCTCTCCTTCAGTGAAGCAAGGACTCCAAAAGCCTCCCCATACGCTCCATGCTTGGCTGGAAAAGGGGTTTTAGAGGACCCTGGGATCCCATCATTACCCAAACATGTCAGCTGGCATCAGGGATGCAATGATGAGAATCCTGTCCTGGTTGTTCCCAACAGCATCCAAAAGAAAGAGGAGAGGAGGAAGATCTAATACACAACAAGGGGATGTGTTGCTTCTAGGACACAAGGGTGACCCCCAAGTTCAGCTTGGACAGCTCTTTGCTGTATACAGGTTGCATCTCCCTTTGTCCAAAATGCATGGGTCCAAGAGTGCTTCGGATTTTGGAATATTTGCATGGTGAGATCTCTTGGAGATAAGACTCCAGCTCCAAACATGAAATCCATATATATTTACAACATATGTGGTGTAGTGGTTTGAGCTCTGGACTGTGACTGTAGAGAGTAGGGTTCAAATCCTGGCTTGGCCATGTAAATCCCTTGTGTGACCTTGGGCAAGTCACTCTCTCTCAGCCTCAGAGATGCAATGGCAACCCCCTTCTGAAGAAATATGCCAAGAAAACGCCATGATAGGGTTCGCCTTAGGGTTGCCAGAAGTTGGAAACGACTTGAAGGCACACAATGACAACAACAGTAAGGCACCACAACTCTCTGACAGGTGAGGCTGAGTATTTCACCCAACTACAAATCCCAGGTTTCGTCGGATGGAGCTATAGCACTGCAAGTCGATGGGAGGAATAACTTCCCTACCCTTGGCTACCCTCCAACATTTCAGAGATGGAAGCTGGGACATGAGTGACCAAGCGACATCCAAACATGGCCAAGATGGCACAAAAGTTCTTCATGAGGAAGAACAGACAAGCTAGGAGAAGCTGCAGTGGTTTGCTTTTGCCTGAGCTGACTGGGAAGGGCAAGACTATCCCCTTTCCTGAGTTGGCTGAGAGCAAACTATTTTTGCATGTTGAACTCAGTTTGCCGCAAACTTGAAGCCAGCTGAGGATGAAGGTGGAAGATGAGACGAGGAGAGAGAAACCGGGACCTTTTAAAAGCAGCTGAAAATTGGGAAGGCAGAAGGTTAACTGGGACTGTCCCTCCCAAACTGGGAAAGTTGGAGAGGATGGGAAGGCTATAATACAGGAGTAGGCAACTGAGTTGGGAAACATCTCCTCCATAACCTCAAAGTAGGTCATGCTCTCATGTTTTGGCTGACTTTTACCCTTTTTTGCTTTTGGGGAGAGGGTTTGCAAGGTTGTTGGGCTCCAGACCCTCCAAGGATGTCCACTGCTTTGTTAAAGGGGTTAACATATTGGATGAGGATTTTTAGGGGGAGAGCAAAAGCTTAAAACCGAAGACTTTCTCCAATTTTGCTTGAAATCTTTGCAAACCGATAAAGGCCTTCCTTGGGTTGCGATTCCAATTCTCTCGTCTCAGATCGCAATCGTTCAGAGAACAAAGCCATCCATCTCTTACTTACAGGTGACAAGGAAAAAGCCCTTCTCTTTCTCTCTCTCGCCTTCCTAAACAAGGCTTTTTTACGGCACAATTCAAATCCTGTTTTCCCATTTGGTTTGGGTCAGAGCTCAAGGGCTTTCAGGAGGCCACAAATAAAATCCCCACTGCTCCAAAAACACTTAATATCCAGGGAAATATTACTGTTAGGCTATAAATAGAAATTTTTTGGGAAAAGTTGCTTTTCTGGACTACAATAATCAGATTCCTTAGCCATCATGGCCAGGTGGCATAGTGGTTTGAGTGTTGGACTAGGACTCTGTAGACCAGGGTTCGAATCCCAGTTTGGCCATGGAAACCCACTGAGTGACCTTGGGTAAGTCACACTCTCTCAGCCTCAGAGGATAGCAATGGCAAACCCCCATCTAAAGAAACGTGTCAGGAAAACCCTACAATAGGTTCTCCTTTGGATCGTCATTAGTAAAAAATGACTTGGAGGCACACAACAAGAACAAATGCCTTCATAATGATGGAAATGAACGAATGCATTGTGTAACTGGCGAATGCAGACAGTATGTTCCTTTTAGAGAGAAGCATATGGCTAAGTTCAATGAAATCAATGCTTTCCTTTAGTGGTCAGGCAGAAAGCAAATAAACCACCCTCGCAGCTTCCTGATTGTCAAGGCTGTCCCTTGTTGCTGTTTTGAAAACCTGGCAACACTATCTCAACCTCAAGGGACAGTGAATTGCTCCTCTCCAAGAGTAATGAAGACAACATGTGCTTCTGCAAGTCACTTCGGCACCAAGAGCCTTGCTTTTATCCAAGCATGTTCTGAACTGTTTGCTGAGCAAAGAAACAAGCCATCAATGGGACGGGGACAGGGATTTTTATCGACTCCTCTCTTAAAATAAACTAACCCACAGAGCTCTTTGCGCAAAAGCAACCAGCAATAAATGCACCATAGCAACCGAGTGGGAAAGATTTGGCCTCATCTCCAAGGCGGTGGATGGGTTCCCATGATCACCTCCGTGCTTCATAACATCCAACATTTTAACCATCCTGACAGATGCCCTTCTTACCCTAAACTACTCAAACTGGGAAGGGCAAAATCCCACACCTTCCTCTCCTCTCCTCTCCTCTGAGTTCTTTTGAATTCCAGCTATTTTTGCACTTTGAACTCATTTGCAGCAATTAGAGCAAGCACAGGTCAAAGGGAGAAAGTGGGAGGAAGAAGGAGAAACTGGGACATTTTAAGAGAAATGTGGGAAGGCAGAGGATTAGTCACAGTTATCCTTGACAAATTGGGAGAACTGGAGGGTGCGCCAAAGTTTTATGGAACCATTGATGGATAGGGCATCCAATGCAAACTTCTGGAAGGCCATGAATTGTGTTTGAGTTTAATGGTCTCCATCAGTTTGCAAATGAAATGCTTCCCTGCATGATATGCAAGCAGCGGTTGCAAAATATATGCTTTCTGGACCTGTCCTTGTGCATTTCAGTTGCATGGGACAGTAAGCCAGCAGCCTGAAGGGTCTGTCAGTCTTGCTTTCAGAAAAGCAATTAAAATGATGGATTATCCAGGTACGGGGCTGGGTGCTCTCTACCAGCAAAATAAATTCATCAGATTGCAGGGGACGAGGGGGGGGGGGGCTGGAGCCGCTTACATAATGCTGCCAAGGAGGTCAACACATCATCGCCCTCTTTAATAGGGAAAACCATGGAGGGAAGCAACTTTCCTTCGGTCTGGTCTGGTCTGGCTGGAGAGCAGAAGGAAACCCTCTCAGTGTTTAGGACTCAAGAATGTTTTTGGATGGACGTGATGGAGTGAAATCAGGGAATTGGAAAGGCCCCTAGAGGCCATCAACTCCAGCCCTCTGCTCAGTGCCAAATCTCACAGGGATTTCCAAACTTTGGTCCTCCAAGTGTTTTGGACTTCATCTCCCAGAAGCCCCAGCCA